AAAAAAAAAAAAAAAACCATAAGAGGATAAAATTGAATAGGTTGAACATAGATTAGAAAGAAAAAAGGGCAAAAACATGAAAGAACAAAAAAGCATTCAAGACATTCATTGAATGAATGTAAAGTACAAATTTTGTGTTGTGCTCTGTTTAATCTTTGACTTAGTATTTTATATTGCAACAATTTATTATTGTTGCACCACTAGACAATGTACTATTTACTAGTAATATAAACCCACCAAAAAGAAGAACAAAAACCAGGGGCTGCAAATTGCAAAATTTGATCTTCATGAATATTATAGGTTTTAAATTACAAGTTTAGGAACTAAACTTTGATACAGATAACGAGTTCAAATCATCATATTCTATCACCACAAGCCTCAATAGCAGAACGAATTTTCCAAGTTGATATCATATCTGATCCAGAAAGGACTCTGTGTCCAAGTTTTGATACCTTAAACTCGTTTGTAGAAGAGAACATAAGCCCTGTCATGTAACACGTTATCCTTCCCGATTGCAGTGACAGATGCATCGTCAAATCGAAGCCATTGGTCATTATGGTATCGAACATCAGCAGTGTAATGTCCCTTTGAGGACTCTCTTCCATGATGGGTTATGGTAGCCACAAGTTCATATTTCCTACCCTGAAAGAATTGCAATGACAGGAACACAATTAGCTTTCTTTCCAATTGATATTTGATAACAAAACCCCACCCCTCGCCCCCAATACACACACACACACACACAATCTCCCTCTAAAGACCACAAACAATCATGGAGCAGTAACGGCCCAAGACTAAGCTAACAGATATTGTCCTATGTAGGTTGTTTTCCCTTTAAGGGCATTCCCTCAAGGTTTTAAAATGCGTCTACTTTGTTGTCCTTTCCAACCGATGTGGGATCGTAAGAGGGTGGAATATCAAGTACCTCTGTGGAGGACGACACAAGAAGATCGCGGTTTAAAACCAGCTCAAGTGGGAAATGCACAGACTTATTCAACTTGGTACTTCCGTGGCTTCCATAGCCAAAACGCTTCAGGTGCAGTATCATTATCTTGGACAGTTTCTGTATCTTCACAGATTTGCTAGCAGACACAACGCCAGCCTGCATAAAATATATCTCGATTTCAGAAACATATGAAACTAAAAGTATGCTTAGTGAAGAGTGTCTGCACTCAATATTCACACATCAGAAAGAGGATTCTATAGCTATGCACAAGATAGTACACCTTCCCAGCAGCTGATGACCGGTACCCTTCAAGAGTTTCTGGTGCAGAAAACAAACGTAGAGCATCCTCGATAGTGCGAACAGCTTGAGGGTAGATATCAAGGTGCAGTGAAAAAAATGGCTGGCCAGTAGCTGAAGGTTTATTTCCTACTCAATCCCATAGAAGAAAATGGATCAGAGGTGATCATATCAAGAAAAAGCAAGTATCTAGACAGCAATAAAATATTTGGTTCCTGTCCATTGAATTTTAGAGGGATTCCAAGATACTAATTAAATTC